AATATACACATAACCCCCCTTGGTTAATAAATAATTTTTAACTTTACATAAGGGTAATTTCGACATTTTAAGTGACACCGTTACGAATAATAATTTCCGTTACTTTGACACTTTAATCCAAACCATAAAGGGGTTATGTATAGCTTTTGAAACCATTGGGGGGTTATGTGAAAAAACGCTAAACCACAAGGGGGTAAAGTGGAATTTACCCTTATTATTTTATGGTGACTGTATATTTTCCAAATGAAATCCACTTTTCTCCCCCATTGTGTACTTGACTCGGCAAAAAAAACAAAAAGAAAAGAAATCAAATTATGATTTAATTTGCACTCTATGCCATGCAAAGCTTCTTTGCTTGCTATCCTTACAGCCGGAGACAATATTGCATGTGACAAAATAGCTATTTCTGTTCCCAAGGAGGTTGCTATGTCTGCTTTGCATTTCATTTTGGGCAAATTCCACTTTACCCCCCTGTGATTTAGCATTTTTCACATAACCCCCCTATAGTTTCAAAAGCTATACATAACCCCTTTATGGTTTGGATTAAAGTGTCAAAGTAACGGAAATAGTCACTCGTAACGGCGTCACCTAAAATGTCAAAAATACCCTTATGTAAGGTTGAAATTTATGTATTAACCAAGGGGGGTTATGTGTATATTTTGAAAATCATAAGGGGGTTATATGGTAAAGTATTAAACCATAAGGGGGTTATATGGTAAAATATAAAAATCATAGGGGGTTAATGTGTCATGTATTTATAATGATAATTTCGACATTTTTAGAAGTTCCATTACGAGTGACTATTTCCGTTACTTTGACACTTTAATCCAAACCATGAGGGGGTTATGGATAGCTTTTGAAATCATAGGGGGGTTATGTAAAAAAAGGGTAAACCACAGGGGGGTAAAATGTAATTTACCCTTTCATTTTTCATTTTTCTGCTATGAACAGAAACAAGTTATATATTTCAAACTGATTGTGGCTTTTCGTACTTGATTTACGTTTTCCAAAAGTTGGTAGTAACAAGCATATTCATGTTATATGGAACACAATTATAGGTATAATTATTGTTAACTTTCAACTAATAATCTTATGAATGCTTAAAAAAAAAAAACGGCTTCGTGCAAGATATTTTTATCTCACTGTCTCATAGGTCTTGTTTATCAATTTTTTAAAAAGTGCCTTCTCTAAGGTCATCTCAAAAACTGTACCCTGATTCTAAAAGGGTTGTTGACGAGGATTGATCATATATATAACTAGATGATTTCTTTTTTGTTTTAACAAACTTTCGTGTTGACAAAGCAAAACAAAAAACATAGGCGTTCTGTTTATCCCTAAGCCATCAATGTACATGTATGAACCATATTGTTGTAGCTTTAATTGAAACTCTAAGTTCTATGCTAAACACAATAGCTATGGCTAAAGAATTCTATTTTAACCATAATGGTTCGGCACTGGAGAAGCTTCTGGTTTACATCTATTACTTATTTCTTGTATAATATTTTTAAGTGGTGAATGATTAGTAAAGTTTTCTTGTTAATTGTGTAGGCATGTGTAGACTTCGTGGCAAAAGTAGTTGGAGTAACTTCGAAAAGGAAGAATTTTGGTGTTGCAGATTAAATTGCATCCCAAGATTGTTAATGATATTGAAAGTGTTTTAAAGAAGTAACAAGTCTTACATGGTATATCAATGTGTCTGCTATGTACAAGCAATATTAGTGCTGAAATTGCTAGCAAGTTTGTTGCTTTTTTACTAAGAAACAATCATAGTGTTTGCATCGGCTCAACAATCTACTTATTTCACTTTGAGGTGACCTTATGGTAGATCCCACAACATGATGTTTTAAAAATTTTCTTCTTCTTATATTTGGCTGTCAGTTATTCTCATACTTTTAATGGAAGAAGGTGCAATTTGCTTGTTGTTTTCTTCTGAATCTTTTAGATTTATTTATTATCATTAAGTATACTACATTTGGAAAGCCATCAAATAATGATTAAGAGAAGGGGGAATAAGGTATAAAAAATGCTCTAGGTATCATAATTGATTTTGATAAATAATTTGGAACTTTTTAAAGAAGATTTGAGCCTAAAGTCCAACATCTGCATCTGTACTTTCTGTCATTCTACATTAGAGTGCATTTTTTTGGCATACTAATGCAACAAAATTCATAATTTCGTATGTGGTGTAGTTTTTTGAGACTTAAGGGTGCTTGCAAATTTGCAATCTATCATCTCAAAGGAAAGCAAAATGGTTATAGGAATATTATCTTATTCCTATATTTGTTATTATTTGCACTCCATGTAATTTACTTACGCAGAACAAATAGAATGGAGGACGCTTTGGAGTATGTGGGAGTTAAATGAGTGAGGCAGGACAGTGCAACGGTTTTTTCGATCTCTAATTTGACCTATTTTTTACTATTGTCTACATTAATCTCTTTAATTAAATTTATCAAAGTTAAAGGTGACTTTGCTATCGCTATCAATTGCTTTGAAAATTGCCATTATTATGTCAAAGCAATTTAAAATGTTCCATTTTCACTTTTCATTGGATTTTTTTTTCAGGATGAAACCTATTTAGCTCTCACATGGTGATAGGGAGAAACATCTCGAAAGACTCCGTCAAAGAGTTCAATATATAAGTCAAGTCACATGGTGATAGGGAGAAACACCTCGAAAGAGTCCACCAAAGAGTTCAATATGTAAGTCAATAACCCAATTCTGACTCAAAAACTTAAATTATTAGGTTTTGGACCCTTAATTACATATTAACAGCTCTGTCTCTATCTCTCGGACCAATGTGGAATATAACCTTTTACTCATAAACTTAACACATGGGATTTGAGAAAACTACCAAAACGCTTGTTTCAGAACTGATATTGGCGTCAGAGAGGCAATATGCCATCTTTGTGCTATTGCAAGTAGAAAAATCATTTTAAGTTTTAAATTTCTGATGATTGTAGGTTTGCTGGTCATGACTTTGCAAATGTTGCTATTGTTAGTGCAAGAAATGATTTTGCAATAGGAAACGGTGCTTCTGACTCTTTTGAAAAGTAGGAAGTAAATTAATAAGAAGTGAAAAATGGATCTATAGTGAAAATAGCCTGCGCACTGTAGAGGGGATGGAATTTGATCGTGGAAAATTTTCTCCTTAACACGATTGGAGTTTTGGATTTCATATTTGTATCTGTTGGTGTGTGGTATTTAGGATAGGAAACCTCTGTATTCGCAATTGCTTTTGGTTGCCTAAAACATCGCATAGTTCAAGGATATTTTGAAACGACACTAGGAAGTCTCCAATTGTGATAGTTGCATACAACATTGAAGAGGGAGTTCCGACTCCATCGTTAATAGTCCCTTGCTATTAGAGGTCTTGCCTTCCTTGAGCGCTACTATCTCTTGATAGGAAAGAATGACAGAAGAATGCTTGAAGCTAGAATTTACCACATTCTTTCATTCTGATGACATTTTTTATTGCAATTTCAATTAGTTAAATTTACTAGATGGCAGATTATGGTAAAAAAAAAAAAAGAAGAAGAAGATAGATTACAACCTTAAATTCACATTCTAGCACCAATTCTTCTTGGATTTTGAATTGTATCTCCAGTTTAAGAATTTGTCTTCTTCAATCTTATCTAATTCCAAAATGTTGTAAATTATATCACTTATAAAAATTTTCCTAATATGTGAACAATCAAGGCAAATGTAATAAGCTAATATAACATTGTTATTGAAATTGAAGTTGGCATGTATTTGCAACTTACTTTAATATTTATATTATTTAGCTTTCTCTTAGTGTTTTCCTCCTTTTATTTTGTATCAGAATAATCTCATTCGGCGGGGCACGCCAATCTCCTATAATCTCACCGCAACGAGCGGTGTTGACCCTCCTAGTCCAACTACTAATCGCAAGGGGCACCAAATAAATAATAATTAATAATTAATCTAACACTCCACACATTTTTTAAATGCTGATCAAGGATCCAGCTGTCCAAGAATGATAAACATCCTAGCTGTCCAAGAATGGGACAGAGATCACCAACTCAATTAAATTAAACTAAAGAGAAGGAAGGGCAATAGCGACTTCAATACCCTTTTTTTTAATTATTTTGTACCGATATAAGAGGATGGAAAAAAACAAAAGAAGTTTCTAGTTAGCTAATTAGCATAGAGGGCTCATTTAGCTTTCCTTTTTGTGAATATGGCTTAGCATAGCTTTCCCTTTTGTCTTGCTTAGCACATAGGCCATAGAATTTTCTGGCATACTTGTTAGATTTATCTCACATCAATTGTGAAATGAATAGGTTGTTTGATTACAATTGATTGACGAATTCCTGCAAGCGCACAGGGTCAATCGTGGTAATAATTTATCATTTGCGAAGTTGCGAGTTACTGCAAGCACACCGGGTAAAAGACCATTTGATCCATTTTTTGCATGTATTGAAACATCATCTCTTCCATGTTAGGTCTCTTCTCTTGGACTAGTTGAGGAGGATATTGCGATTTTTGCTGCTAGCCTTGAAATTCTGGTGATTCCACAGGTTGCTCCCTCCATGATAAATTAGGGTGATTATACCACCCTGGATTATAAGTGTTAGAGAAGGAATCATTCCGTTGCTAAATCCTTTGACCACCGTGAACTTCCGTAAAATTCACATCCTCCACCATAGATGGGGCGTTTCTATATATTGTAACAACCAGCGGCAGCGTGTCCATACATGTTGCAATAGGAGCAAAGGCTTAGGAGACTAAGATTCACCCTTTAACATTGACTGCATTTGTTGCATTTGTCGAGTTAACTCAGCCAATTGAGCGCCCATATCTTTATTAGTTGACACTTCATGCACACTTCCTCTTTTACCCCGACTTGCTTTTTGTTGCAAGTTGCTGGATAGCATCTCATAAATAGCAACCATTTCCTCCAGAGTTTTATCCCTGAAATACCCTCCAGCATCAAAGTTGACCATGTTTGGGTTGTAAAGGTCAACCCGTCATAGAAAAACTGAGTGATGAAGGCATGGACTCAAAAGCAGCTTAAATCTCTCCCATGCTTTGTGAATTGGCTTCCCCTCCATCTGAGAAAATGAACGGATCTTATTTCTCAAGTCAATTGTCTTTTGTGCCGAGCAATACTTGGTCATAAAGATGTTATACACATCTTTCCAAGTTCTCAAAGTACCATGTGGTAAAATTCAAGAGTCAGGATTTTGCACGGTCCTTTAGACAGTGTGGGAAGCATCTCATCTGCAAGTCATCGTCAGAAATACCACTGAAAGGAAAAGTCTGGACCACAGAACAAATTTCATGTTTATTTACGTTTAAAATATGACCACTGGAAAGGATTTAGCATTTTGATGGAAATAAAAGTAAAAAAAAAATAATAATAATAACACAGAGGTAGTAGTAGATTATAGCCCCGCGTGAATGGTCCAACGGCAGCGTCTCTCACCAGTGAACCTTGAAATTACAAATTCGAGTCTCCGTTCCGCTGGATTCCTCCGCGCACTTAACGTGTTCGGGTCGGGTTGGGCACGCCGGGCCCGGGTCACATGGAGATTAGTCGGGCCCCGTAAGAATTGATCCGGACACCCCTATGTCCAAAAAAAAAAAAAAAAAAAAAAGATCATAGCTGTCCAAGAGTACCAGAACTTCATTTGTTTTTTTAAATGACAAGTGGATCGTAGAATATTATTTACGTTTTTTAAATGGCTAATGGATTAGTTCAAAATTGAGTCGAATATAGTTTTCCTCTGTACTCTTATATCGATACAAATTTATTTAAAAAAAAAAAAAAAAAGGTATTCAAGTCGCTATTTGCTTTCTTTCTCTTTAGTTTAATTTAATCGAGTTGGTGATCTCTGGCTCATCTCGGACAGCTACAATGTTTATTATTACTTTTTGTATCCTCAAAAAGCTATGAAAAATTATTAATTATTTGGTGCTCTTCGCGATTAGTTGTTGGAAAGAGGACAAAGGCCATTGGGAACCGAGCGGGTAACCCCTTTCGTGCTTGGACAGCTAGGAAGTTAATTGCTCTTTCCGTGTTACGTTGATAGTCTTGACTTTTTCTCGCACGCATTAAAAAAATTTTGTTAACTTTACTCAAAAATTAAATCTAGCCTAATATTTTTCTAAAATGTCATTACATTAAAAATAAAAATAAAAAAAACGCAGCCAAGTAGTGGATCATAGCTATCCAAAAATGAGACGGATTACCTACTCGATTAAATTAAATTTTTCTTTCCATTGATCAAGGATTTAGCATTTTGATGGAAATAAAATTTTTAAAAAATAAATGCAGCAAAGTAGTGGATCATAGTTGTTCAAGAATGAGAAGGATTACCTACTCGATTAAATTAAACTAAGGAGACAAAGAAGAAATAGTGACTCTATTATTTTCTTTTTATATTTTGGTTCGTTATTAGAGTACAGTGAAATCTCTATAAATTAATATTTGATAAATTAATAATTTTTATTAAATAATAATTTCTTTGATCCCAACTTGAACTAACAAGTTAAATTAATATTTTCGATAAAGAATAAGATAATAATTTTATATTGAAAAACTTACATAATCCTTTGGTTCCATACGTATCATAAATAAATAATTTACTCAAAAATATATATCATATTTTCTTAAAATATGAGTCTATTGTTGTTTGTTTTTCTTAAAATTTAAATCTACCTAAATCTCATCCCTAATTTTTCTTATTGCATCTAAAAGTTCCTTATTCAAACTTTCTGTGTTAGGTTCATGAGTAAAAAAGATTACATCCCACATTGATCCGAGAATTGGAGAAAGAGTAGTTAATATGTAAGTAATGATACAAGACCTAATGGCAAACAAGCCAAAAGCATGAAAGATGCACACAACATTTAATGTAGTTCGGCTCCACCATTGAGCTACGTTCACGAAGAGAAACTCGTTTTTATTATGAGAGGAAAATTTTATACAAGAATACAATTTGAACCCAAACCCAACCTTGTACACTATCTCTCATTTCCCAAGAATCTTCTCTCACCCCATGTATAAGACTAAATGTCGCTTCTTGTGTGCCCTTTTATGTCTCTTTGTAGTATATCAACCCACCTATTTATAGAGAATATTATTTGACCAAAATACCAAATAACAATAGAAAACCAATTCTCATTCCTAAAATTGTACAAAATATGAAATAACTTCTAATTCTAAACAAAATAGGAAATTTCTTAACTACTACTTCATGTAACTAAAGTCAATTAAAAAACTAGTTACTTCCATGTAAAATAAGAAATCTATCTAAAAGAAATTAAATCAATTTCCCAATACTGTAGATCAGCCAAGTTTGGCGATTTTTATTTTGCGGAGCCCTTGAAGCTAGCTAGCTGCCCTATTGTTGGGGAATGCATCATCTTTATAAGCTTAGCAAAGTGCGCGATGTGGGGGCCTTTCTTCTTGACTTCTTATTTTGTTTTATTTTAAGTCTTTTTAATTCTAAACTTGAATTCTCATATTACAATAAGAAATTATGAAAAGTTATTGATAACTTGAATGCTTGCTTTGAGTTATTGATACTTTGAGTTGCAACCAATAAAATTGAAAGAATTTGAGCACTCTCAAGGTGTTTTCAAAGGCATTTTTGGCTGACCCCCGGGGCAAGCATTTTGATATTTCATGATTTTAATTTTGAAGGAACATATGTTTTAGGTTCAAGCAATTGAGCATTAGCCTTATACATTGATTACACTTTTTATACCCGTTGATATAGGTTTTTTCTTTTAATACTACTGTGACGTGACCAAGCCGTCCAAAGCAGATATAAAAGAATAGTACAAAATGCTTGTCCTGCGCTATAATTTATTTTCACAGACCAAGAAGATGAAAATCAAGTTCTACCTAACACTTAAAATAATATTGATTAAATAAAAAAGCAAGAAATTTCAATTGCAGCAGCATCCTGGAAAATTAATTTCCTACTAGTTGCTAAAAAATTCCTTGCTTGACACTTGACACGTTTCTCCATCGAAGAAAGGTAAAAATATGTTTCAGGCTTTTATTAGTGCCACTATCCAAGCTGCCTGGGGACGGCTTTATCTCTTGCCTGCACTGATGGAATTGTTATTAATTTATTTATTTTTTGGGGAGTAATAAAATTATTATTACTGTAATTTACTGCTTCAGTAATCAAACGCAGAGACAGTATAATTTTCTCTTCCTAATAAAAAGTAAAAACTTCCTGGTTTGACATATTAACTCTCCACAGTCTGGAGGCGACAAGGACTGCTACCTCCAAGGAAATAAAATAAGGTTGAGTTGAGGCTCTTATTAGTGCCATTATCCAAGCTTTTTGCGTAACGGTACATCTAATCTAGTCTAACATAAACCTACTCACTGGAGGGTTGGCCCAATCAAGCCGAGAAAACCAACAAAAATTGAATCACCATCGGACTAGACGAGTGCACCACGCACCCGTATGGATTTAGAAGAAATCACATATATAGTGGCAAATCGACAAGAGATAAGATTTGAACTCTTGACCTCTCACCCCACAATTTATGTGATAGCCAACTCCAATTCATCACGTGGAGTTAAAATTTCCAATTCCAAGTGAACTTCGCCTTTAATTTTGTTTTTCAATAAAAATCAATGCATATGTAGATATGCACTTTCTATTTCTCTGATTATTTCTGCTACTACCTTTGTAACTTGTTATTGTTATTTATTGCTTCTAAGCTAACGATGCTATGGTGGTAAAGGAGTTTGTAGTGCTTTTTGTTCCTTAGTTTTTGTTTTTTTAGTTCAATTAGTTAAATTAGTCAAGTTCTTGGCTTCTTGTTGGATTATAAAAATTAATTAGCTGACAATGATAATGATGATGAAGATAATGCGGTTGGCTTCTTAAATATGAGACTTGGAACCTTTTGGTTTTTAATATGAGACTTGTTCTTTTATTTGGTTTTTAATATGAGACTTGGTACCTTCCAATTTTTGTTTTCAAATAATAAAATTAACATTAAACAAGTTAAATCCAATATTGTGAATTCAAAGAAAGAATTATTATTGACTACTATATATTTTCAAAGATTCACATCCAATCTTTCACGTGTTTGCCTTTACCTTTTCTCCTTTTCCTGAAAAAGTTTGTACCAATTATAATAACAACTAGAATTAGTTTTTTTAAAAAAAAAAGAAAGAAAACATCCATAACATATATAAATATTGAGCCTTATTAGAAAAAATGTAATTTTGTTCCTCTCTTTCTAATTTAAATCTCAATGTTGGTAGGTGTCTTGCAATCCATCCCTAAAATAGTGAACCAGATAAAAGTCATTTGACTAAGGATCGATGGCAAATAAATAACAGAATAAGAATATTTATAAACACTTAATTTTTCTTTGATTCAATCCAATTATCAGTAGTCACTAATGTTTCAACTTTCAACTATATTTGGAAGCAATTTGGCATGAGTCTTATCAATCACTCAACCACCGACACTAAATGCAAATTCTGATACCATAAAGTCCTACTGTATTAGATCCAATGGCCATAGAATAGTAGATTATTTTATAAATTTACTATTACATATATATATTTTAATTAAATATACATGGGTCTGAGTAGGGTTTGATATGGATATGAATTTAGATATAAATTCTAGAAAATCAGACTCTACTCAGATCTATGACTCTCTTACAAGATCTGGATCTGGGAAAGATTTGGATATGAAAAATTAAATCCAAATCCTACCCAAATATATTAAGTTTGGATTAGATTTGGGTAAGACTCAACCCATTAACATGCCTACAAATCACCAACCTACAAGAGTAAACTAAAATGTTACCGTCTAATTATTGCAATGGCTACTAAAGGGTGTCAAGATAATTGGGAAAGCAGACACGAAACCTGAATCACGTCAGTGAATGGGGAAAATGCAAGAAAATGTCAAAGCTAATGTTAATCAATACGATCCCACATCGGAAGATCGTGGGGTAGTTACTTTGGATTTAAGGTTTATAGGGGTCTCGTTCTGTCACCAATTGGCTGAACATGAGTTCTTTGTGGGTCCCCTTAAACTGCTTTCGGGTTGGTTTCTCTGTTGTCTCCGAGTGTAATCTAACTGTGTGCGTG